CAATTCATAATTTTATCCACAGTTGCTTCTTATATAAGAGCAACAAAAGAATTTCTTTGTTCTCTGTGATTTGTCAAAAAAAAAATTTTTTGTTATCATGTGGATCATGCAATAAATAGAAATTATTAGAATCCCTAAATTTTCATAATTAGAAAGTATGAGTCACATAGAATATATAAAATGTAACTGAAATTTATAAATTCATGTACAATTTAGATGCTTTATATATATGTTATTGTCACAATAGATCAATAAATCAACATTTTCTTTTATTATAAATCTGTGCAAAAATAATATTCAATATTAATCTTGTGTATTTTTGAAATATTTATTAACATATAATATATTTTTTTATATGGTTGACAGCCTTATCAAAGCCATCGAATACGAACATATAATATTTTAGCCATATTTAAAAAAAAAACCACAAATGAAAGGATTATATTCAGTACAATCTCCATGAATCAATTCAAACACAAATCCATAAAAAATATGTGACTGGTTCCTTATGTGTGCTTTAATAAAGTTTAGAAACAAAGAATCAAGTTTGCAATGAGCAGCAGCAACATCAACACTGAACTGCTTTAGACGAAGTAATTTCCTTCTCAGTTTGATTTCATCATCATGCAGAATCCACACACAAAAAAAAAATAACACAAGCCACCAAATGTATTAAGAAACGAAATATGTGACTTGAACCAAAAGGTAAAACGATTAAATTGTTTTCCCTCGAGAGGCTTCTTCATCTTCTGACGTCCTCATGTCTTAAATTCATTCTCTGTTATTACAATACTCTTTGATTGCACTATCTTCTGCATAAGTGTCGTCTCCTACTTTTTCTCTCTTGAAGTATATATTCTAAAGTCAAAAAAAGTCACTAAACTAAACCACTTTTAAACACAAAAAACTTATCTTTAGAGACATGTAGATAGAGAAACACATACGCTGTAATACGAAGTATAAAGGATGAACAAACGTTGATTAATACTCTGTTTTTTCAAAAACTGCAGGAACATGAAGAAGAGAAAGCAGAGGTACACTCCTTAGTTAAAGGTGAAAGGAAGCAAGATGTTTGAAGTGGAGGTGGTGTTCTTAGCAGAGGATTCAATGAGAACGTCAGTTGGTAGAGACGACGACGTTAACGATTAACTCTCATTATTGTAATTATGGTTGGCTCGATGAACATAGTGTGTTTTGGCCTTTTAGTAGGATAATGGCACTTGTAAATTTGTAATGAACATTCCACCAGCAGAATAAAGCTTTTTTCTGCAGCTTTCTTTTCTTCTTTTTTTTTAAAAAAAATCTAACTTTAAAGAACTGATACGGCTTCTGAGTTTGCGAAGCAAACTATCCTTGAGATTAAGGCCATCACATCTTAATTTCCCATCATGTGATATCTTATCGCCTCCACTAAGTTCTTTTGTCAGATGAAATTGAACCATCTTATATACACAAAATGATCATATGAAAGAGATCGGTGTGTATAGATTCATATGATGTACTTGTTAGCACTGCTCTCGAATATCCCTTGGGATACAACTTTATTGTCGTAGAGAATATTACAGTGTACCTGTTAGCACTGCTGAACAAATACATATATGCATGATATGTTGAAAATACTTTAGACTCACCATTTTCTTCCTCCCATTAAAAAGCTATCTGATACATAATGATTCTTTTAAGCACCAAGAAATCTTTAACACCCTAGGAGAACTTGGGGAAAGGGAGTTTTTCATCGAAAGAAATGACTTCCCAATTGGCAAAAGGTGAAGCAACCATCACATCAACACTAAACTCACATTGTTCTCCCTCGAAGATATATCCATTTTTAGGGTCATTGAATGTTTCGAGTGAAAGGACTTGTGATAATCCCCACACCATTCTTAATGCGTTGAATCGCTTCACTTCCAGAATATTAACCTCCGAGTTTCGTGGAGTAATTTGGTATTATATTTAGTGTTAAATTTGTTCCATATGATAGAGCTTAAGCATTCTATTTCTGTATTTAGTAAATAACGAATGTTATTAGGGTTGTTAGGTTTTACTAAATATCGGTTTTATTAAATTTGAAAAATAGTTTGATTTATAATGTAATGAAGCATTAAACCAATGTTTCTAAACCAATGCTCACATTCATGCAAACCAATGTTTCCATTTGATCAACCAAGCCAAAAAAATATTATTTTGTATTGTTTTTACGATCATGTTTTTAAAAATTAAAATGCAAGGAAATTTAACAAACAAATATATTCATCAATAAAGAATAAAAAAAATGAATCTAAAATATTATTAGATTTTCAAACAATTAAATGGAAAATTATATTAGTCTGCGCAAGGCACGGAAAAGTCAACTGTTTGAAATGGAAAATAAACTATGAAAATAAATAAGCAACAATCAGTCACGAATAGAATGTATATTAAATTTTCGTTTTGTTCTTTAGCACTATCACCTACCTTGAATCTCTCAGATCAAATGTGATTGTCTCATCTTCGCTGTAACCACCGGTATGTTTTATATTGTATGAAGCATATCCTTCCCATGCTTTGAATTTCCCAACATTAATCATTTCTCCAATTGAATCTTGTATTGAGAAAAAATAATGAGTTATAGGGTTTGCTGAAACAGCAGAATAATATAGTAAATAATATTTATTTTTCTATACACTAACATGGTAAGTAATCATTTAAATAAATGCAGTTTTTAATTGTTTGGAAATTGACGAAAGAAAAGAAGTTCTGATTGCAGGGCAAATCTTCCTTTTGTATGATGGTATTACTTTGGAAAAGAATCTTTGATAGATGGTTAGTAGCTCGAAAGCCCCCAGAACAGGAATAACCTCAAAAATTTTGATTTGTAATCCAATTTTCTTCAAATAACCTCTTTGAAAAGAAGTCATAATTTGGAGCATAGACCAAACCTTCAATTTTAGAACCATGCACGAATAATAGAAATGAAATATGAGGATTCAAGTAGTAAATAAATCAAAGCCAAAGAAGGTGGTAAATTTTAATTTACATATCAAACATGTTCATACAAAAAATGGAAGCCAATATTTTTTCAGAGTTGGGCATAGACTGGATCCAAACACGAAGTATCTTCACGAAAACAGTTGTCTCATACCACCGAGGTGTTAAACAGGAAACACCAAAAACAATTGGATCAGATCCAATAGGCTTCATAGTAGGTTCAAAATAACCCTCATTGTTTTTTTTCTTGTACACAATCCGAGACCTGTGTCCTAAGTAAAGGAAGATCAACAAAAACAGTTTTTCTGATGAAGATAAACCTGTGTTGGATATATGAACATCATCGTCACTGTTAGAAGGAGCATAATCAACATCCTCTTCATCACCATCAGAATCTTTTGTTTCATTGTCACCATCACCATCACAATCATCCTCACTATCAGTACTTCCATCATCACAAGAAGAATCATCTCCTTCAACAATATTCCTCTTCTTCTCTATCACCTTCAACATATTCCTCCTCATCATCATCACAAATGAAATAAATATTGAGCAATACAAAAGAATACGTAGAAGAACAATGTAGAATAGATATGTTTAATAAGAAAATTCCCAAAACTAATAATCCTCAAGAACAAAAACACATAACCTTTTAAAAATTAAATATGATAGAAAAGAGAAATCATGAGGTATCATGCATCTTATTGAATTAAAAAACGACAGATAAATCTCCAAACACGTAAAGGATTCACCATAGCATCACAATTTAACAGAGTTAAGTAAGCTTTTAGAAGACATAACGGAGTACTCTAGTGGCTTGCCTCTAAAAAAGCTTCAAAGTACTCAGCATCATCATCAATGAAACGATTTCCATTGGCTTTTTCTTTGATCCCAGATCCAGTGAGAAGCAAACTTCGAGTAAACTTCTGGGTGATTAGAATTACATTGGAGCCAGCTTGAAAATTGGTTTTCGTCAAACGTAGTTATTGTAGGGTTTAAAGGGTTGTTTACAGCTACAAAAATAGAACGATATGTATGAGTTTTATAAGGTTATAAAATATATGTTAATACTTTTTTAGAAAAACATTAGTATATGTTTATCTGATGACTTCATGAGTTTTTAGTTAGAATGAAGAAGAAGGAAGAGATTAGAGAATTTTGAAAATTATGAGAGAATTAGAGAAAAGTGTTTGATATTTATACTAAATTATAAGAAATTGACATTTTTGTTAGATTTTATCTAAAATTTGTTAACATAAAAAATGGTAAACATTTAAAATGATTTTTTTAATATAAAAACGTTTTTGATTAATTATTTTATAAATTTCGGTTATATATAATTTCAAAAACGGTTTAATTTTACAGCGAAATTAAGCATTAAACCATAATAATTTATATCGGTTTATTTTAAGTTATTTTTGACACATCAGTAGATAATAACCAATCAAAAAATGACACATAATCGGTAAATAGGGTAAAAATGTCTTTTTGCAGCCGAAACTCATTCAAAAGCTGACACGTAAGCAAAATACCCTGAAACTCGCTCTTAGTGCGACACGTAAGCAAATCAATATAGATTTTTGAAATTTTAACGTTGATTTAAATGAACGTTGTTTTGTATTCTTAAGAAAAAAGCTATTAATTAACAAATCATCAAGATGGATCCGAATTTAATTCATTAATACAAAGAGATGACAGCGAAGGCTGAGAATGGTAAACTGGTGTTTTTTACTCGCCCTTGGAGGTTTTTCCGGTAATTAAATTACATCCCTCAATTTTTAATAGCACACAGATTAGCTCCTAAATTTATATATGTCAACTAAACAACCCAACATCTCTATGTCTTCACTCTTCGAACATACAGTGGGACTTTATTTTATTAATTTATTATTTGGTTGATAAAACTAGTTTGGGACCGGAAATATTTACTGCTTTATCGCAGTATTAATTTATGGAGTATTAGTTAATAGAGGTTCGAACAGTCCCATGGTGAATGAAACATATGGTGATAATTCCAACCATTACCGCTTAATTTTGAGAGAGAGAGGTGTTAATCTTTACTTCATAGACATAAGGAGCAAGACGGTACAGACATAACAAACATCTTTTGAGTTTTGTACACTAAAACCCCCAAAAAAACTTATCCCAAGTTGTGCAAAGATACCCAAAAGTCAAACACTTGTAAGTAACCAAAATAAGGTCTACACAATGGGAGGAATGGGGTCTATCAAAACCTTGATTCTGCACAAATTGCTTTCCTTCTTACTTCATGTCACTAACCGAGAAAAAGAGCAAAAGATTTAACCGCGACTTCGACTTGATTACAATCTGCAAGAAACCAATAAATATCGAATTCAGACGAAGAAAATATGAGTACAAATATCAAAACCACATCTTTGATTTTCTGATTTCTCAGTGCACGACCAAAACCGAAGAAAACTCACAATAAACTCTCTCTCCCTAACAAAATTCTAATCACATACAGCTCAAACCCGTATATATATATGAAATCAGACACCAAGTTGCACCATTTATATACAACCTACAACATGTCTCAAGCTAATGCAAACTTATATGCTTTTGTTTAAACATGAAACACCCATTTGGAGCCATTGCTTCATTTGTGAAATACTAAACCATTTTAACTTAGTTTTACCTGGAAAAATTTGGCGGCCTGGTTAAGAACGATTTTAATTACAAATGGCGAGCTTGGGGCTCCATTCACTAGATATTCCATAGTCAAGGCTGAGCTCAGTCATGGGAGGAATGTTCTCAGCAGCAAAAAGCATAACCCGAGGGAACATCAGATTGTTGTGATCATGTAGTACTAACTGAACAATGACATTCGGATCAGTACTGTGGCTTATGTAGCAAGCAACATTCCTCATCTTCGACACATCCATAGCAAAATCAACAGGAGGAATCTGAGGATACGAAGGTCGCTCGTAATCAGGAAAGACCTGAGACAAATCCCCCCAGGCTTCCCATCTAGCAGATGAAAACCGAGCAGGGTATACCAATGTATCACCATTCATGGTCAAAATGTTCGCTTGTTCCCTTGTCAAAGCAACCCCGGCATACTCACAAATAAAACCACCCGCATGTAATATATCCAAAGACCGAACTCCCCAACCCGTCTCAACTGATCTGAACACTTCTAGTCTGTTCCTCAAACCCTTTTGAGTCACACGGTTTCGACAATTTGGTGGGCACTGACACGCCGGTCCACACTCATGTATCAACGGTCTCTGTCGTATTAGATTCCCATTGTAATCATAAGCAAACTCGCCACCATTTTTAGTCGCACAAAGGCAGCCACCGCTACATCCTGAGATACAGTTGCATCCACTTGCATTACTGCTCCGTTGAAATAGTAAGCCAGGAGGAAACGAAGCTTTGGCTAGGTACTCGTAATACAAAGGTTCTTGATCGTTGTCAATGTCGTTAAACAAGTAGACAGGAACATTCTCCTTCTTATTCGAGATATCGAAACTGATGTAACCAGTCGGTCTCACAGATAACGGGTTGGTTTTAAGGGTCTTGGCAAGCTTCATAACCGAGGTACCCATCTCGACCTGTCCTTCGATTCTCTCAAGCCTAAATTTAAACACACCGAAACCAGACTTGCCAACATCAAACCATGAATCAACAATCCTAAACAGCCCATCATACACATAAACTTTGCTTGAAACCGAGTTCTCGTACTTAAACCCTCTAATCACTCTCACTTCAATCCCATAATACATACTCCGTTCCATGGCAAGATTCCCACCTTCTAGCTTCTGATGTTCAGCTTGCCTACCAAGCTTGTCTTGCCCTCCATGTCCTGTATACATAATCACATCTCCTTGATCATCATCATCCTCATACCCACCTGAAACAATCACACTAGTAGCAATTGGCTCTCCATTAGAGCTACGGCTCCCTATGAGATAATCAATCCCAGCTTGTGTCTGTCCATGTAAACCAACAACACACAGCTCAAGCCTGAAAAAGAATATATCCCCAACTTGAACTCCAGGAATCGAACCCACAATGCGTTTGTCACGATTCATCCACAAGAGACGATCTTTCATCAACGAAGCAGCTTTACTATCAGGCCTACCTCTCCTCATCCCAATCCCCTCACGCTGATTTTCCATTATCAAGAAGATCCTAAGCGAATCGTAGATCATTCTCGTCTTCCGAACATATTCTCGGAACTGTCTCTCTCCTTCTGGCCCAACATCAGTGATCCTCACCAGCTCCGAAGAACGTTCCTGTGGCTTCGGCCTTCGAGTAACAACCGATTGGGAAGCGTCGCTGGTTGGGTAAGTAACCGGAGCCGGTTCTTCCTCCACCGGTACGATTGCGCCGGTAAGAGAATCGAGCACCGTGACGTCCTCGTGACGATTGAGGCGTTGAGCGAACGCTGAGCGAAATGTCTCCGCGACATTGTTGAACTCCGTGTACAAGCTGGGTTCGACGATGACGTTGGATTTGTTGATGGACGATGATGAAACCCAGGCTTGTGAGTCGGATTCAGTGCCTGGCTCGCGCTTTGGGATCAGTGACGGAATATGAGAAGTCATCTCCTTCGACGAGAGACCTAGATAAGAGAGGAGAAAAATGGTTAAACTGGGTTTTCTTTAGCAGCGAAATCGCAGAACTTGGTTATGGTTAAACTGGGTTTTCTTTAGCAGCGAAATCGCAGAACTTGGTTATGATTTCAAGTGGTGGAGAAGAAGATTTCGTCAGTCTCTCTACTCGAACTCTCTCCCTACAAGATTCAGTTCGTGATTTCTCAAATTTCTCGAAAATGAAAATCAGGTCTATATGGATCCAAACGGTTATTCCAAAACTAGATTCAGGTATAAAAGAAGAAACCCCAAAATTTTTACCTGTATATTTTTGAAATCAAAATCCAAGATCTCTTTGCTATGAAATAGGGCTCTTTAGGCTCCAAGCTTTGATTGATGTTGTGTTTGTTTTTTTGGTGGAGTTCTTTAGGCTCTTTACTTTGATTGATGGTGTTTGTTTGGTAATTGCCAAACCAAACACATCTATAAATATTTATGATATTTTTTTGGAAACTGAATTATTATAGAATATAGATTGTAAAAATTGATTTTTTGAAATTTTCATCCTTTTCTATTTTATCATTTTTAAGTAAGATGATGACGACAAAAAAAAAAAAGTAAGATGATTTTGATATTCTCTTTTTATTGGCGCCATCAAACCAAACATAGTTATAAACATTTATGATATAATTTAATAATTATTATTGAAAATTTTCATTTTTTGTAGAAAACCTGACATATCTAATAAAAGATACTATTAAATAGAGTAACATAAAAATTAATTTTAATTCCAAACATAGCATACTTAGATTAAAATTTTTAACACGCTAATAATTATATGGAAATATTTTTATTTTAAATAAAATTAATATATTATGTTTTAATTTCCTATTTCTTATATAAAATTTATTTTTTGCATTAGAAAAAAAATATTTGAGTCATTTTAATATAAAGTTGTGCTATTATTTGCAATTTCAACTAATAATGGTAAGTTAAAAACACAATTTTAAATGGATGCTCTTTTAGATTTCTTTACTATTTTATCATTTTGATTATTAACTTCTTTTTCGAATCTCTTTGTGTATCTTTATGGTTAATTATTCCAAAAATATATATATTCTTTCCTAAAATAAATCTATAATTTAATAAAAATACTACAAAGATTTTTTTCTATTATCACAAAACAATAATATTATTTTTCTTATAATAAAAATTGATAATTTAAAAAAAAAAATAATTATATAATTTTTTATGGTTTTTTTTAACATAAAAGTCTAAGATCTCTTAAGGATGAAATAGAGCTTTTTTAGGCTCTAGGCTTTGGATGATGGTGTGTTTGTTTGGTATTGCCCCATGTTCTAAAATCGCTACGATGAAATAGAGCTTTTTAGTCACTGCAATTTATTCCTAGACAGAGAGGTTAGGCGGTCAACCGATTTCCGACCACCTAAATATAATTTTTTTAAAATAGCGATTTATTATTAAAAATTGGTCTTCTTTTTAGCTTCATGTATGATGCTAAGAGAATCAAGGGTTACTTCTAGCTCACGTTTTAAATTTATAACCCTAAATATCTGCAAATGCACAGATGTACGTTATAATATTTAGGGGTCGAGCCACATAAATTTTAAGCTTTTAGTACGAATCAATCAAAACTTAAGTCTAGCAGAACTAGCAAAATGGGGGTTTTTTGTTTAAGTGTCACTAAATCTAAATGCAAACGAAATAAATAAGTTGTAAAATAATACGGATTAAGCGCTGGGTCTAAAAGGTTTTTGCAGGGGTTCATGAATTGATCAAAAGACAAACAAATTGATAAAGGTAATCATCTAGTGAGGATCCCAAACTCGAATAGACGCAGGTATGATTAGCCAACTCTCGTCATCCTAATCAACAAATCACTCAACACAGCAATTAACTCTCGCTTTCATGCTGCGAATAAGATCATGCATTAAAAACAGAATTCGTCCATGCTCACGATTCTCTATAGGTAGCTTTCGTCTCCTATAGCGATTTCGCTCGATCACTTCTAGATCTGGTAATTCGATACAACACTCTCGTGGCTCCAATTACTGAGATCAATTTCTAAGCGGTTAGCAACAGAAACAACGTAGGGAATAAGAATGAACGAAAGACTCCTAGAAGATTATATACCCTAAATCGAAAAAAGCATATGATCAAGACATGAAATTCCCTTTGAAAAATCTCTTAAAAATCCAACTGGGAAACTACTCAGACATAGCCGAGTTTAACATCACAAAAGTATTTAGAGTAGCAAAGAATTGAAATAGACAAAAGTTAGAAACGAAGAACAGATTGAAGCAGGAGGGCCGATGGTGCCCTCTCGGTGGCTCCTCTTCACGGCAAATCTCTCTCCCTAGGGTTCCTGGTGAAAAATGCGGCACACA